AAACTATGCTCTTAACTAAATCGCTAAATAGTCCCGAAGTCCTGATGTTTGTGAAGAGGAAATGGTTGAATTAATCTGGTTGTTTTGCTCAGGATGGGAGGGTTTGCGTAGCTTCAGAAATTGACTAGCTGTGACTTATAATCCGACTTTCCAGTTTTGCATTCGGTACCTTTTCAACTGGTGCCTCTAGCCAGTACTGTATTCACATGGCGGTCACCCTGCTGAGCATTCTGACATTAGTCTGCACATCTATGCTAAATGACCTAAGGCCCAAACAGAATCGAACTTCCTTTATGGAACTCCCACTACATACTGGGTTTTTTTTTTTTTGATTTTTGCGCCGAGTGAAGTATCTGTAGGTGGGCAGTAGTTTTCCATGAAGAAGAGCGTACACAACCGCCGACAGCATCAAGTGTTGAGCCAAGTCCGGATACCGAGCAGATGATGAGCAATCCCGAGGACCAAACTTCGATGATCATTATGAACAATTATTTCGGGATCGGAATCGATGCTGATGTCTGCCTACAGTTTCATAATAGGGTAAGTGCTCGCTTCGTTAATTTCATCCTAAAAATCGTAATTTCTGGAGAAATCCGTTATTTTTCTAGAAAATAGTACCATTAGAAGCACTGTACGTGTATGTAGGCATGTACGAATGTATGTTTGTATGCTTGTGTATATTTTGGGATATAATTTTGTGGGCATACATTTTTGTTGGCGTGCATGTAAAATTGGGCATTTATTTATGTGCATGGCAGGAGAACATGTTTTTGAATGTGTATATGTGTAAGTGCGTTTGTGCGCGTGTCTGTGCACATGTTTAGGTGTTACATTCACATGAGTTTGCTAGTATGTTTACATGTCATGAGTGTGTTTGCTTGTATGTGTTTGTATATATGTATGTATGCGTCTGTATCAATTGAAGTATGTTTATTATGTCCGTGTTTGTCTGCGTGAGTTTACAAGTGTGTTTGCATTCACTCATTTATGCACGCATTCATATCGTATATGTATATAAATATGTGTGTGTTATGTAAATATGTATGTAAGTATGTTTGTGTGTATGTGCGTTTGTGTTTATGTTTATCTGTTTGTAGATGTGTGTATGTATGTTGTGCGTCTCGTTTGACGGCTTCAGAGCTGCAAAAGCTAGGAAGTTAAATTTGAGGATAGTTCCGCATCACGCTCTAGACGCTTTTAAATTTGCTTTGGTATTTCCGGAATTTTGAGAAATGTAGTTGCTTTCGAATTTAGCGACCGTGCTCAGTCTCCCCTGAGATCGACTGCTGTTTTAAGCTGTCACTTCGACTAACTTCCGGTGCTTTTGTATCTGGAAGTATAAGGAATTTTAATCACTGTGCTTAGCATGATTTATAGATAACCATGGATATCATAAATTGTTGCAGAGGGATGCAAATCCGGAAAAATTCAGCTCAAGATTGTTCAACAAAACGCAATATGTAAAAATTGGTTTGCAAAAAGCCTTCTTTGAAAGGACATGTAAGGATCTCTGGAAGCGGGTCGAATTAGAAGTGGATGGAAAATTGATCGAGCTGCCTTGTATCGAAGGCATCGTTGTACTAAATCTGCTCAGGTATA